CTCTCTCTGACTCTCGCTCCTCTTTCTCTCTCTTTCTCTCTCTCTCTCTCTCTCTCTCTCTCTCTCTCTCTCTCTCTCTCTCTCTCTCTCTCTCTCTCTCTCTCTCTCTCTCGCTTCTCCCCCTTCTCTCTCTCTCTCGCCATCGTTCTTTTTCTCATCGAAATGCGTTCCTGTCGTTCGTTTGCATCTCTCGCACGATTGAATCGCAGGAGCCGATGCCTGCCTGCCTGCCTGCCTGCCTGCCTGCCGTGCGAGTTCTGAATCATCGGCGTCCGCAGAAATTAAGACGCGCTTAATTGAGCTGAACGACGCGCAGGCGGTCCGGCTCGGCGGCGCTGCGCCGTCGGAGACGTGTTACAGTAGAGTGTGATTCAACAGCGCCCGCGACGAATTCTAATGCTATAGCTGAACAAAGTAATTTGCGAGTTTTCGCCCGACGTTTACGAGCGGGTATAAGGCAGCAGACGGCATTATAACGCGTGCGCGCGCAGGACGCTTACGTGCGCGTGGACTGCGTGATGTGGTGATAAAGCAGCTCGAAGTGAACCACGGTGTGTGGGGGCCACAGGCCGGCTAGCACGCCATCATGAGACGAAACCCAAGTAATAAACCAGTCACTGTTAGCAACGTATGAAAAGCAAAATAGTAAAAGAAGTGTATTATAATATGGATATGTATATGAGCGTATGTAATAACCCGGTAATAAGTATAAAGCGTAAAGAACGATCGAGCGGGCGATATAAGTTAGCGGCATTTTGGCTCTTTTGGCTCGTCACACTGCTCGCTATAACCAGACCGTATAGTGAGTCGGACGGTAGTCTATGTTAAGTGGACTGCAACCAGCGCCGTGGTACATGAATCTTTTTAGAATCTCTTACTTCTTTCTTACTTTGAATCTTCTTAGGTGCCGCGCGTGGTTCACACCTCTGGCTATAACCAGACCGTATAGTTACTCCGACTAGTCGTATAATGTAAGTGGACTGCAACCAGCGCCGGGGTACACGCACCCATGTGCGCGCGATCAACGGGAGCTCTGCTGGCTTACGTTATCCTATCTATACCATATTACGGTGAAGGGTTCCTAGTGTGTGCTTCTCGTTTATGGTCTTAGGCGTCGCCGTCGGACGCTTGCTGGGTGTGTGCTTTTGCCACTTATCGACGCCGTGTCCTGCCTCTCATTATTTTGAGCGCGAACCGGTGCCGGGTGCAATTAGAGAGAAATTCGTAGCAGCCTCTTCGCATGATTCAGCAGCAACGTCTGAGGAACACGTGAAACCTCCTGCAGGAGAACTGTGATTCCCTTACAGCCGCAGCACCAGCAGTAGCGCCACCACCACCAACATCACCACCACCACCCCACCACCATCATCATCACCACCACCACCACCAACATCCTCATCCGCACCACTGCAACCACCCCACCACCACAATCATCATCAACAGCCACCACCCCACACACGCATCGATTCATCACACGACACCACCACCACTCCACCAGCACCACCACCACCACTAGCCACCACCACCACGCACCCCACCACTACCACCAGCCACCACAGCCACCACCAGCACCGACACCAGATACCAGCACTACTACACATGCACTACCACCACTACCAGCACACACGCAGCTACCCCCCACCACCCACCACCACACCAACCAACCACCACAACCACCACCACCACCAACCCACACACTTACACCACCAGCACCACCACCACACCACCACACCAACTCACCACGAACCACAGACCACACCACAACCAGCACCACCGACCGCATCCACTAAACACCACCACCACAAACACCACCACCGACTACAGCAGCAGCAAGCCAGCACCACACACCACACACCTACCCCATACAGCAGCAGCAGCAGCACCAACCAACCACGCACCACACCAGCAGGGCAGCACGCATCACTCGACACACCACACCACGCCACCCCACCACCACCACACCACGACCACCACTACCACCACCACCACACCACCACCACCGCACGGCAAAACCACCACACAAACCTAACCACCACTCACCACCAGCACCAGCACCAACCACCTCCACCACCACCAGCACAACAACCACACCACACAACACCACCACCACTAACCACCACAACAACAACAATACCACCAGCACCAGCACCACACCACCACCACCACCAACACCACCAAACGACCACTAAACACACCACACACACCAACACCACCACCACACTACCACGCACACACAACACCACCACAACCAGCACTACCACACCACACCAACCACAGCACCACCACCGCCGCCGCCGCCGCCACCACCACCACTAGCACCAGGCAGCAGCAGCAGCAGCAGCAGCAGCAGCAGCAGCAGCAGCAACAGCAGCAGCACCACCACCTCCACCACCACTGCCGCCGCCCCCGCCGCCACCACTACCAACACCACCACTACTCTCTCCACCAACACCAACACTCCTACCACCACCACCACCACCAACAACAACAACAACAACAACAACAACAGCAACAGCAACAGCAACACTAACAACAACAACAACAACAACAACAACAGCAACAGCAACACTAACACCACTACACCCGGCAGCAGCAGCAGCAGCACCAACACCACCACCACCAACAGCAGCAACAGCGACAGCAGTAGACATGTGGTGCGGCATGGCTTCTTGCAGTGCGAGCAAGTAGCCGAGCATTGCGGCAGTAGCAGCAACGGTCGCCGAAATGTGCGCCTAAACGAGTATATTAGAGAATAGGTTGCGGTCTTAGCTTCTGGATTCATAAGCCACGCTGCGTGCGCCAACTAGGTCTATTTTCGGTTCGCAATATGCGAAGCGAGGGCCCTCCTAAAAGCAGGATTAAGACATTGTTATTACAAATGTGGAGTACGGCATGTCGGCGTGCGTGAATTGCCTAGATGGGCTCCAACGAGCGGAGGAAACTGGTTGCGAGTGCTGGTAGCTGAAGATGGCGACCGTCTATATTCGCTGCAATGTTTGACTTTTTCCGAGAGTCTGGGAATGGGAATCCGAGGGATGCTGTGAAGGAGTGTGGTCCGGGAGGGAGGGATGATGGGAAGGAAGTGTAGTTCGGGAGGGAGGGATGATGGAAGGGAAGTGTAGTCCAGGAGGGAGGGATGCGGTGAAGGAGTGTAGTCCGAGAGAGAGGGATGCTAGAGGGAAAGTGTAGTTCTGGAGGGAGGGATGCTGTGAAGGAGTGTAGTCCAGGAGGGAGGGATGCTGTGAAGAAGTGTAGTCCAAGAGGGAGGGATGCTGTGAAGGAGTGTAGTCCGGAAGAGAGGGATGCTGGGAAGAAGTGTAGTCCAAGAGGGAGGGATGCTGTGAAGGAGTGTAGCCCGGGAGGGAGGGATGCTGGGAAGAAGTGTAGTCCAAGAGGGAGGGATGCTGTGAAGGAGTGTAGCCCGGGAGGGAGGGATGCTGGGAAGAAGTGTAGTCCAAGAGGGAGGGATGCTGTGAAGGAGTGTAGCCCGG